TTTTTAGACAAATAACAAGATCGACGAAGAAACAATTATGAACTTAAACTTGAACTTAACAATATTAACAATTTCTAAAAATACATAAACACATGAAACAAATTGAAGAAACAATTAATTAAACTTCAATTTGTATCTCACCAACATTAAACTAACAAAATCTTACCTAAACAATAAAACAAACATGAAATAAACATGAAAAACAAATTAATTAATTTACCATTTGAATCTGAAAATTAAAATCAACAAAACACATGAACAAACTAGAAAATTATCTCAACGATGAACAACGAACAAAACAAGAATCAAATATTTAACGATTTTAACTTCGAGAAATATAAAAACGAAATATGGACAAAATAAAACTCAAAAACAACTAACCGGAGATGAATCAACGAAGAACTTTGATTGTAAACAAATCTGTCCGAAAGCGATTATCGCACCAAAATCGACTCGAATCTGCCCGGAAACTTAAACAGTAGACGAAGCTCGACGGAGGGGTGTTTGGCAATGTTGGGTTCTAAAGCAGCAGCAGCACGTTGCTGCCATGCTGCTGAAGCAGTAGCAGCACAAGCAGCAATATGGAGAAGAAGAACGCAGCAGCAACCTGCGAAGGAGCTGCCATGGCAGCGATGGGGGAGCATCCGCGACACGACGAAGAAAACATAGCCATGACAGTCGTGATGCAGTGGTGACACTGCTGGTGGAGCTCGACGGAGCAGCAACAACAACATGAAGGATAAAAAACGCAGCAGCAGCAGTGTCGGAGAAGAAGAAAACGCAACAGCAGGAGGAGAGGCAACTATGGGCAACNAGTCGACATTTAGCTACAACAATTTAGTTGCAGCTATTTCGGAACAGATTAGGATCGATAGTGAGTTAAATACAATAGAGATTAACTTTCTCCCAAATAATGGTTTGCAACCGATTCTGATATACAATGATACAGGTGTAAAAGTGTATATCGAATTAAAGAAGAAAAGCTTGAATTTCACTGAACATCCCTTGTTTGTGATAGTGAAAGAGATTTATGATAATCGTTTGGTTGCTACAACTTCCAGTTGTTTGGTTGCTACAAGTTCAAGTTGTTTGGTTGTTACAAGTTCCAATTCTATAGATGTATCCACAATTGATAGCACTGAGATTATGCCTGATATCGAATTGATTGAAAAGACGAAACTTAGTGAAAACACTGGTATAATAGATAATATGTTGAACGAATTTGTTGAGGAGGATCAAGTTTATAAAGATAAAGAGACAGTTATAAATGTGATGAAGAACTTGGTTGTACGCGAGAGGTTCCAATTTAAAGTGAAGAGATCTAGTGCAACAAGGTATGTCATTAATTGTATATTTTGTTATATATATGTATACATATGTATAAATTAGTATATATTTGTATATAGGTATTAAAATTAGTATATATGTAGTTATGTTTTTGTATACAAGTATATTTAGAAGTTGAATGATCTTTAATCCTAGGTATCACCTTATGTGTGTGGATGACAATTGTGCTTGGAGTTTCAAATCTTCTGCCGTTTTCAAGGCAAACATATTCAAAGTGAGAAGTTACAATAATAATCACACATGCGGCTATGGTGAAAGATACTTAACACAACGCCAAGCTACTTCGGGTGCAATTGCTAGTATAGTCAAGGATAAGCATGTTAATCCAAAATACGTTTACACCGCAAATGATATAATAGAGGACATACAAAAGCAACACGGGATTGAAGTGAGCTACATGAAAGCATGGAGAGCTAAAGAGATAGCAATGGCAATGATAAGAGGGAGTCCGAGTGATTCATATAAGGAGTTGTCGAAGAATTTTTATATGTTGGAGCAAACAAATCCAGGAACGGTGACAAAGTTGCACAAATCAGAAGATGGATGCTTTCTTTATGCATATGTTTCGCTATACGCATCTATCAAGGGCTGGGAGCATTGCAGACCGATAATGGTTGTTGACAGAAGTTTCCTTAAAGCAACATATAAGGGTACCATCTTGACTGCTTGCACACAGGATGGAGCTGGTGAGTTGACTGCATCTACCTTGTTTCTGTAGTTTGTATAATATTGTAGTTTCATGTATAAAAGTGTATAGGATTTCACAGCTATTGTTTTTATAAAATTTGCAGTTGGTATAAAGTTGTATAATTGTGTATAAGATTTGTATAATTTTCTGAATCCTAATATCTATTTTATATAAACAGGAAAAATCCTTCCACTTGCATATGCAATTGTAGATTCAGAGAATAACAAATCTTGGGAATGGTTCTTTGTCCAGATAAAGGGTACTTTTGGAGTTAGGGGAAGGGATGTGTATAGTTTCAGATAGAAATGAAAGCATTTTCAATGCCATAAAAGCTGTGTACCCAGAAGTACCACATTATATTTGCATGTTTCACTTGTGGCAGAATGTAATGCGCACATTCAAGAAACATCACAAACAATTGAAGGATATCTTCTTTGCTTTGGATAGAGCTTACACGATAGAGAAGTTTGAGTACCATATGACAGAGATGTGAAAAATTGATCTGAGGGTGCGGCCTTACTTGTTCGAAGTTGGCTACGAAAGGTAGTCTAGGGCATATTCCAAAGTGAAAAGGTCGATGGTAATGACTTCCAATATTGCAGAGTCAATTAATGCAGCTAACAAGGATGCTAGATAGTTACCAGTAATGCGATTGCTGGAGTACATGACAAATTTGCTACAACAGTGGAACAACAAAAACATAAAAAGTGCAATGGAGACATCTACAGAGCTTGGTAAAAAGTATGACAAACTCCTTCGGGAAAATCTGATTGCATCGGAGCAAATGACGGTAAAATCAATCAAATATAATGATGCTTGGCACTGCTGACTTGCATTTTACTGCTTGTATAAGTATGTATAACTCTGTATATTAATGTGTAATGTTCTTTAACTTTTTTTTAAAAAAAAAAAAAACCTTTGCAGGTGAGCCCTGCTACGGAGCAGTTATATACTGTGTTTGAAAGGGTAAGGTGAAACATAGTGTGCCTTGAAGAGGGAACATGCAGTTGCAGAAAATTTCAAATGGATGAACTTCCATGTCCGCATGCTTGGGCGGTTTTGAAGAACCAGCAGCCGAAACCTGGACAATATTGCTCTTTTTACTACAAGAAGGATAAACTCCTTAGAACTTATGAATTTCCAGTGAATCTGATGCCAGATGAGAGCTTATGGGTAATCCCAATAGAAATGATGGAAGATGTGGTCCTACCACCTAAAGGGAGAAGGAATGCAGGAAGGCCAAGAAAGGAAAGACTCAGACCTGCTTCAAAAAAAGAGTCTAAGAGGGCGTTTTCATGTTCTGTGTGTGGAGAAGGTGGTCACAATAGAAAAACATGTAGAAATCGACCAAAATAAATAGTTGGAAACATAACACTTCCTATTACAGTTGTTGTCATATCGAGTAGTTAAGTTTCACAAACAATAGAGTTATAAATGCTGAGTAGTTAAGTTTCACAAGTAATTAAGTATTGAAGGGTGAAGGGGTAGATTCACTATTCGTTAAGCTTTTGAACTGGAAACATCATATTTGTCCATTATTTAAAGCCAAAAAATTTCAAAATTTCCTGAAATTATTCCATAAGTGCAGATAATTTTTGCTATTCCTCATCAAGTGCGTGTGTATTTATAAGTTTGTCATGCCATATGTTTAATTGTCCATCGCTGGTAACTGAGAAATGGGAGATTTGGTCTCCTTATATGATCTTGAATAATTATAGCTAGCTTTTGAGATTGCTTTAAGCCAAGGCACATTCTCTTATGAAAATATTCATTAAAATGTAATTCATTCACAGCCACAACGTGTAATGACTACCATAAATTACACAAAAATAAAAATATCTATAATATCATTTAAGGTTATCTCACAATTAGCAGAATAGTACTTAGACAAAACTATGCAACAACTCCTGATACATAGAAACACTACAGTAAAATGGAAAAAACAGAACTACTTTCTCGGTCGTCCCCTCTTCCTGAAAAGTCTCCCTGTGATTTCATCACCACTAATTGCACCGGAATGCTATTTTTTCCTTCCATAATCCCACAACAGAGATTCCCACCTGGTGCGAAGTGTCTCAATGTCAAAATTATCTTTTCGAATTTCCTTACCAAGGATGAAATACTTAGCAAAGCCAGCAACAAAAGCACCACAATCACTGTAATTAAAAAGAAACAAATCAGATTCAAATAGGTACACTAATAGTAAAATAGTAAAACAATTGAGATTAACCTACCATTTGATCTGGTGGGGCACATTATTAACCAGATTAATCTGCAAAGCATCAGAATGGGATTTATCGGTATATGCACTATTATTCCAATCAATGCCCTTCTTCTCGACATAAAAATCAGAACTCTTCAAGAAGTAAGGTATCAGAATTGCATAAGGTAATGCAGCATCCAAAGCAAGTCTATCATTAATAGCTCCACGGTTAGAGTCATAGATGTGGATGCACCTATCTATGAACGTAAACAACCCCAAAACCCAATGGCCCAATTTTGCTCTTCCGCGCTTCACATAGATAGGGAATAAAGCGTGGTCAACAGTGTGCCACAGTACATTTGCATCACAATAATATCCTCTAATGTACTCTACTATCTCATGCCCTTCAGGAATCACTGAAGGATCTTCATTTACTTTGAAATCTTTATACAGGGAGTTGATTTTGTTACCAAAGGCAAAGTCTGTTGTAGTAAACCGCATGGTAACACTCGGCCCATATTTTCCCCTCTTCCTCAAATAATAAAAGAGGACATCCAAGTGTTGAGACAAGAAATAAAACAGAACAACTATCACTACCAGATTTTTTAAATATAAAAATTTATACACTATTATACAGAGATATACATATTTATACAAGGTTATACAATCTTATACTTTGATTATACAAAGCTATGTATACACTATGGGGGTCTCAAACAATAAAGATATGCAACAAATAAAAAAAGGCATTAAAACAGAAATTGATTAAATACCATGTCAATCAAAGGTCGACCACAATATGCAAGTGAGTGAAACCAATCCTTCGTGGTCACATGACACGAGCCAAAAGTAAAAGCTTCTGCAAGCTTATTTACTTCATCGGGATATATATTTTTGGCACTTCAAATCACAAAAAATAAAAAGTAATCAGAACTACATTCATTGACAAGTATAAAATCAGAACATGAAAGATTAAAGAAAGTGAAGATACCTTCGCCTCGTATCCATCCCATAATCAACAAACGGGCAAAGCTCTTTAGCCAATGGCGACAATAGATCAAAATCATCAATTTCGATCGTGAAAGGATGCTTGATATCAAAAATAAGCTTGTGCGCTGATCCTGATGCTCCCGAATAAAAAACTGGCAAATATGGAGATTTGGCATATTTTCTTGGTATTTTCTGTCGAACTGACTGTTCAGGAGAAATGTAATCATCTTCTACGTCTATAATGGATTGTTTGTGAAGCACAATTTGGGACATCTGTAGCGCAGCTAAATCTTCATCGCCAATGTCATCCCAAAATGTGCCGCCCTTGACATCACCTGTTGCCCCTTAGACAGAGAAAACAAATAATAAAAAACTTTAAAAATGAAGAAAAGAAAAATCAGACAAAAAAAGATAAAATGCAGAACAAATACCATGATCAACACCATAAGTAACTCCCTCGTCAGGTAGCACGTTATCTTGATTCACTTGATTGACAAAGTCAGCAACAACATCATATTGATAGCCATCAAATTCGCCGAGATCAGATGTATTGTCATCAAACATGCGCTGAGGAATCTAATAAAAACAATAGAAAGAGAAGGCATGTTGAGTGATGATTCAAAGAATGCATAACTGTTGAGTGATTTGGTTTTATCAGTAAACAATTACCTTAGAATCAGTAACATCCTCCCTCGTTTGCTTGTTTTCCTTCATATTCAGAAAACTGAACACTTTTTCAAAGGAAGAAACTACATAATTGCTGAGTGTCATTACTGTATCAGTCAACTACAAAAAAAAAAGCAAATCAACAACCATGTTTATAACCAAAAAACCATGTATATACAAAAAGCACTGATAAACTATAGAAAAGCTAAAGGTCCAGTACCTTTCCAATAGCACTCCTCAACTTCTCAACTTCAGCATTCAACAGATCAATGCGCACCAAAGGATCATAACTCGGGTTAGGCTGTCGATCCATATTCTAAGGAAAAGGTCATTTAGACTATTGTTCTGTATTCTGAGGATAAGGTCGTTTAGACTGTTGCTCCATATTCTGTGGACAAGGTGGAGATGTAGTGACAAAATCATTAGTGTGAAAGGCAGGCACCACAGGCACCTCCCCTGATGCAACATCATCGGCATTAACTTCAAAAAGCGTGTCGATGTTCAGAGTTGACATCTCTTTATGAGTAGGGGAAATGTTCCTATAGTTCAACTACAAGAAAAAAAACTGGATTACAATAGTAGAAAAAGGAAATTGTGACATATTCATAAATATACATACAAAAAAACTGAAATCATATATGAAAAAGTATTATGGTACAAAATGTTTACCTTGTCGATACTACACATGATCACCCCGCCAATCAAATCTGTATATGTTGGAGTTTCAGTCACTTTCCAATTAAGAATGCGTGGCACATTTGTGCCAACGCGAACAGCTAGATGCTTGTCAACCATAGAGCAACACTCAAAAAAACATATTTGTAATGCAAATGGCAAACCTCCAAGCCTATACATTGTCAAATAGTCACATTATCTGTCCCTCATTGTCCTTAAAATATCTTCAAATGACTTTTTTCCCCAAGCATACGTTTGATATTGACCACTTTCAATGATATCAAAATCATCTTTGTTGATACCATGATTATTGGCATCTGAGAATATGAAATGATGGACAAACACCATCAAGGCCATCTTGAACGCATCTTCGTCCGACTTCCAGTCCTTTTTCTTGAAGCGATCAAGAAGCTGCCCCCTCGTTATAGCCTTTTTTCCATCTCCAGGAAAGTACTCTTTTAGCAACCTATTAACATCTGGTTTGTCATAGAAAGTGGTGTCGTCTTCTACACACTTTAAACCAGTGATAACAACAAACTCTCCAATGCCAAAATGCAGCAAACAACCATTAATTTTCACCCGCAACTCCCTTTCCCATCCTGGGATGACTTCCCTCAATAATATACAATGAATAAGTTGATTTTGAATCTTAAATTGAGGGAGGTCCAAGAAGTATCCAAAACAACTAGCACGGAACATTTGAAGTTGCGTGTCAGTCAAACAGTGCTTCAAAATGCTCACAATATCAGTTTCAGTATAGGAACTAATCCTGTTGTGGAAATGATCAACTGGTTGTATGTAGAAGTCCCCAACCTTGCATATGGAAAAAATAACAAGAAATAGATCAGGAACAAAAACTATACTAATTTTTTTTATAAAAATGTATAAATCAGTGTAGTAGTACTTGTATAAAGATGTATAAACACCAGTATAACTTTGTATAAAATTGTATAAGCATGTATAATTTAATAGTAACACAGGGAATACCTTCAACTTAGCTTTTCTCTCATTCAATTTGCAGCGAATAGCAAACCTTTGTTCTTTCGATATGCAATCAAGACCACTCTCACCATCGTCCTTGATCTTTCTCCTTTTCGGTTTAACATTGAGGCCTACATCATCTTCATTAACCAAATCAACTTTCAGCTTTTCTTTTGATTTTTCATGTCTCCCACATTTCTTACTCCTTATTCTAACGATGTTAACCGGAGTAGGAGTATTACTTGTTTGCGAACGAGTCATTCGACTGCTCTCTTGTTGCAACTTTTTTGTAGGAGCAGGAGACTCAAAATCATCATCATCGGGAGCCTGGACATGCATATTCGCTTCAGAAGCAGGGGTTGAGGGCAAGTCCCTCGATGATTTAACTGGAGTGGGAGAATTCCTCGTTTGCGAACGAGTCATTCGACTGCTCTCTTGTTGCGAGTTTTTAGGAGGAGCAGGAGACTCAAAATCATTATCATCTGGCGCCTGGACATTTACATTAGCTTCAGAATCAGGGCTTGAGGGCAAGTCCCTCAATCGTTTCGCATAATCGAACTTAACGCCTTTTCCAGCAACCTTCATTTTGCTTTTAGAAGCAGGAATTTTTGAACGCATTGTCTACAATAAACCAAACAAACAAAGCTTTAACAAAAGTGAAGACAACTAAAGGAAAACACAAAAATCAAAAGTTAACCAAATATAAAGGCCATGAACACAAAGCAGAGGCCAATTTTCCCAAATTGTAACAAAACTCAAAAAATAAAAAATTCTACCCTAAAATTCGAAATAACAAAGCATGCAAACTGAAAACATAAAGTTTAAGCCTAGAACTAAGATA